CCCTCTACAGGCTCAAAAGGCCCAGCCGACCACTTGGGGTAGGATGCTTTTTTGACGACCTCCTCCCTAATGGTCGTAAGCTCTTTGGAGGCGACAATTGCCACGGCGTGTTCGCAGCACTCGACCTCACACTCGTAGGTGCGCTGGAAGGAGGTGCCGATGGTGATGACCCCGCATGGACCCGACATCTTTAACTTCAGATAGGTGTAGTTGGGGATGGCCATGAACTTCGCGTAGCATGGACGTCCTAGGATGGCATGGCAGGTCCCATGGAACCCGACCACCTCGAAGGTAAGGGTCTCCATCCTATAATTGGTCGAATTCCTGAAGGTGATGGGCAGATCGATCTACCCAAGTGGCATGGCCTGCTTTCCAGGCACAATGCCGTGGAAAGACGCCCCGATCGACCAGATGCGCGATCGGTCGATGCCGATGGCATCGAGCATTTCAGCGTACATCATGTTGAGGCTGCTGCCTCCATCCATCAGCAACTTAGTGAGCCGCTTCGTGCCGATGATCGGGTTGAACACGAGCGGGTATCTTTCTAGCTGCGGGACGCTTTCCGGGTGGTCGATCCAATCAAAGGTTATGGCGGACTCTGACCATCAGAGGAAGGAAGGCGCGATCGGATCGGTCGTATAGACCTCGCAGCGTGCAAGCTTCTGGCGGCGCTTGGAGTCATAGGCCGCCGACCCTCCGAAGATCATGAGGCAGCTATCCAGCATCAAAATCCACCGTCCTTCCCCTCGGCATCGTCTATGGTCAGCTTGGGTTCCTTCCTATGCTCCCCCTTGTTGGAGCCTCCGGACAAGAACCGCTTCATGAGGACATAGTCCTTCTATAGGTGCTTGATGAGGAAAGCATGGTTCTGGCATGGTCCTCCGAGCAGCTTCTCAAAGTGGTCCGGGATACCCTTGGCGGGCTTCTAACCCCCCTTGCGTCGACAGTGGCCATGAGTGAGCCCTCGCGATCCTTGCTTGTTCCTCTTCTTGTTGGGGTAGTTGGAGGCGCCTTCGCTGGTGTCCTCGTCCTACTTTGCCTTGCCCATGGGGTGGTCAAAAATTGCCTCGACCACCTCCTCGCTCGAGGCGTGGCTGGTGGCAATGTCGAGGAGCTTCTTGGTGGTTCGCGGGCCCTTACGTCCTAGCTTGTGAACCAGGGACTCAAGGTGGTCCCAGACAAGAAAGCTCCTATGACGTCGGTGTCGGCAACGTCGGGCAACTTGTTGCACTACCGGGAGAAGCGCCGGATGTATCCACGAAGAGTTTCTCCAGACTTTTGTCGGCAGTTTTTAAGATCCCATGGATTTTTAGGACGCGCGTATGTGCTCTGAAAGTTTCCCATGAAGATTTCTTTTAGGTTCGCCCAACTTTGGATTCGGTTGGGCGGAAGGTGTTCCAATCATGTTTGTGTCAAATCAGATAGGAACAATGGAAGGTTGCGGATAATGAAATTGTCACTATCCACTCCACTGGCTTGGCAAGCAAGCTGATAATCCTCAAGACATAGTCCAGGGTTTGTTTCCCCAGAGAATTTCATAATGTTGGTCGGCGGTCTGTACCGCGGTGGGAAGACGACGTTGAGGATGTGTCAGCCTAAGGCCTGAGGTCCTGGCAAGTTGGGGCTCGGGCTTCGGTCCTCACCGCTGTCGTAGCGTCCACCATGATGAGGGTGGTAGCCGCGGCTAGCCTCCTCCCTCTCATTATTGTGGGCACGCCTGCGGGCATCTAGGGTGTCACGCGCGTCACGGTGGAGGCCGAGACGCTCATGTGCCGGGGCCGCGGCACGTGACCTGCCGCCTCGCTGCGCCTGGTGGACTAACACGTCCCTGTCGGATCGCTTTGAGGGAGCGCGCTGGCTGGCACCGAGCTCGCGTCGTTGGGCCAGCGAGCTCTCGGCCTGCTGTGCCGCCGCACGCTCGAGTAGCGTGTGAATCTCGTGATGGGCCCATCGATCCTCGAGCGTCGCAGGCCTCGAAAGCCCCCGAAGCAAGGCCGTCGTGGTAGCGATGTTCTGACTTGCCTGGGTGAAGTGTGGGAGGGCTTCATTGTCCTTGATGATCCTCCGGTTCACGTCGCGGGCCACGGCGCGCGCATGCCCACCGTCTCTGTGGTGCTTGATCTCTCGCTCGAGCTCCACGCTTTCCTGCTCGAGCTGGAGTTGTGCTTCTTCAAGCTCTTGGTGCCGCGCCCTCAGCTGCTCTACCCGTAGGTGAGGTGGGGCCCCTACGTCCTCCTCGACCTCTCATCGAGGTCGTCTGTTGCGATAGCCCCTCCCTCATGGATGCTTTCGATGTATCCCTCGGAGATACCTGCCATGAAACATTCTCGCAAGGGGTGATGGCTCCCCCTGCTAGAGTCAGAGCCGGAGGGTGACTCCGATTCTCCTACGAGAAGGTCGTTCATAGGGGATGGGGCGTGCGCTGCGCCACAAGGTGGCCGACGGTCTCTGCGACGTGGCGCAGACCAAACGGGAGTGCTATTGGGGTGCTCCGGATGAGGTACTCTGGGGAGAGCGGCTCTCCTCCAACAAGCCGCGTCATGACGTTGGTGAACGAGAAGGTGAGGCGGCGCAGGTCCTCCTGGGACGGTCGGGGTCCCTAGGAAGGCGCCGAGCTGGCGCTTTAGCCTCCAGTAATCGAAGCCGAGGAGCTAGTCGCTCTCGGGGGCATAGGCCTCCGGTGCGTGCAGCTGCAGCTCCTCAAGCGCCTCGGCGACCGCGTCGATGTCGGTGGAGTGGAGAGGCTGGACGGCGGCGGGAACCCGCGCCAACTCTCCCTACGTCATAACGATGAGGTCTAGGTTCTCGAAGCGCATGTGCGCACCCGGGATCCAACTGACGCTATGACTAGCCATCCGAGGCCTGATGTGGATGTCGAGAAGCGCACAAAAACCCTACCTAGCGCACCAACCGTCGGTGTTTTTGGACCACCGATGAGTAAATTTGTATTTGCATGTCTGGCTCGGATGGTGTGCTCGGAGGACACAAGGGTTTATACTGATTTGGGCGGAACATCCCTACGTCCAGTTCACTGCTGCTCATATTACCGGCACTTGGTTTGTAGTAGGGGTTACAAACAGGCGAGGGAGGGAGAGGATCCCAAGTCTCTAGTGGAAGGAGTGAATGGGTGCTGAGAGCTCGCTTACCGCTCAGTCGTGTGCTCGTGTCGTGCTCTCTTGTTTCGATCCCCCCAGCGTGGGGCGCCTTGCTTCCCCTTTTATAGGCGAAGGGAAAGCGTGGGTTATCAGAGGAGAAAAAGGAGAAGAACGAGAGAGAGAAGAAGGCTTCTATGGTCGTCGGGTCCTTCTTCTCCTTTATGCGGGTCCCGCTGATCCTGTAGATGTCAATAGGGATGGCTCGATGTCGCGGCCCTATTCGTCACTGGCGCCATACGTAGGCGTCATCTGCCGGTCATGGCCTTCCACTCCGTCCCGATGGACGTCGTGGTGAATTGACGCGCCTCAGCGTCCGTACCAGGATTAGATAAAACAGCACCGGCACGTCTGATACTATTCTTGATGTGAATCCCCAGGTATCGTCCGTCATGGCCACGGGTTACATCGAGGCGTGCCAACCTCTTTTCTGGCATTAGAGTTTTGATCCAGGCCCATACGCTTGGACATGGAGTGGTTGGCGACGGTATGGGTCCCCGTCGGATGAGACGAAACCCACGTCCTCGAGGTTGGGCGAGACGGAGCCCGCGTCCTCGAGGTCGGGCGAGACGAAAACTGCATCCTTGGGGTCGGGCGAGACGGAGACTGCACCCAAGGGGTCGGACGAGACGGAGCCCGCGTCCTTGGGGTCGGGCGAGACGAAAATTACGTCCTTGGGGTCGGATGAGACGGAGCCCGCAACCAAGGGGTCGGGCGAGACAGAGCCCGCACCCAAGGGGCCAGGCGAGACGGAATCCGCATCCTTGGGGTCAGACGAGACAGAGCTCGCGCCCAAGGGGTCGGACGAGATGAACCCGCGTCCTTAGGGTCGGGTGAGACGGAGCCCGCACCCAAGGGGCGAGACGGAGCCCGCGGCCTTGGGGTCGGGCGAGACCTTTTAATATGTCTTGAGCCATCCGGGGAAATCAGCATAGGCGCTAACTTTCTTACTTTGGGTATCCCTATTATCGATACCCAACAACATCAAAGTTCAAAGATCACGGCCATGTTTAGTTCCACCAAAATCCAAACTTTGGCACTATGTAAAAAGAAGATTCTCCATCATATCAAACTTGCGGTACATGCATGGAGTACTAAATGTTGACGAAATAAAAAACTAATTACACAGTTTGGTTGTACTTTGCGAGACGAACGTTTTGAGCCTAATTAGTCAACGATTGAACAATTATTATCAAATACAAACGAAATGCTACGGTGCGCTACAGGAATGAACAGAAAACGGGGCCAAGTTGGCGAACTAAACGCGGCCCACATGTCTCGAGTGGCCCTGTTCGCTTGAACTACTTTTCAGCCGGATCAACTTATTTTAGCTTATTATCCCTCACAGAACACTATTGAATCAGCCAAAACCAGCCGATTTATATATCAACCGAGGGCAAAAAAAAAACTTCCAAAATAAAATCTTTGCAACCCAAAACATGCCAACCATCTCAGATTTTATGCAGCAAATTCAATCAAGGGAGGAAACTATTTTCCCCTCGTTCCATCTTAACTAGATCAAATGTCACATTTCTGAACGATCTAGTAGAACTCTAGAAGTAGTAGAACATAGCAGATTAATCATTAATCGGCCACCATGGCTAACAAAAATTGGGTGAAATATTATATATATACCAAATGCAGCATCAAAAACATGGGAACTAAGCAGCCATCTTTACATCATGATGGCCACATTCAAATCCCTTCTTTACAAGAAGATACAGATATACGTACTCAATATGACCAGAGAAGATAAACGAGCAAACCAAGAAGCACGAAAAGCTACCTAGGGTCGCCACATTGCCCAATTGCAGGCAGAATTCCGATCGGCGGGCGGGGCGAATCAAATCAGTCGGCATTGTGCATGGATGAATCGAGGCCATCGACACGGCTGCGCACAATGCGGTGGAACACCTCGCGCACCAGCCTTTCCAGCGGCTCCAGGCCGTCCCTCATGGCTTCACACACGGCGGCGAGCTCCGCGGCAGCCTCCCGCACGTCGTTCTCCCTGTCGCCGAAGAGCGGGATCGGGGCCGCGTCGATTGCCTCGGCGAGCTTCTGCGTGGACTTCTCGAGCGAATGGATCTCCTTGAGCAGGCCGCAGGAATGGCGCCTGTCCTTGCGCTTGCCTTCCTCGGCGAGGCGTTCCTGCAGGGCGAGGAGAGGCGGCGCCCAGGGGAACGCGGCGCGCGGCGGCGCGGCCGGCAGGTGGTGGGCCTGCAGCGCGTTGCCGCGGTCCGGGCACGGGACGGCGGCGACGAGCGCCCAGGCGGTGAGGTGGAGCACGCAGCCCATGGAGTAGACGGGGGCGGCGAGGCCCGCCTCGTGCGCGCGCGGCGCGGCGAGCCCGGCCCCGATGGCCTGCAGCTGGCGCGCGGCGGACCAGGTGCGGGACACGCTCCAGGAGAGGGAGCGGAAGTGGGAGGCAGTCGCGGATGCCGCGGCGGCGGAGCCCGCGGTGCGCGACGGGGAGGCCCGCGCGCGGCCAAAGGAGCGGTTCCGGTGGGAGGAGAGGAAGGAGGCGACGCCGCCGGCCCCCGACGCCGCGGCGGCGTCGTCGACGAGGAGCGCGGAGAGGTCTGTGAGCGCCTTGCGCGCGCGGCGGAGCTGGCCCTCGCGGACCTCCCCGGGGGCCCCCAGCGCGGAGGCCGCGATGTCGGCGAGGCGCTCCCAGCGGCGCACCTGGTCCACGCCGTCCCGCGCCGCGTTGCAGACGTCGAGCGCCTTGACGGCGCGCTCGTGGAACTCGGCCACCATCCTCTCGGCGGCCGCGGGCAGCTGCGCCCCGGCGCGGCGCCGCGCCTGGGCCACCACGACGCGGAACTCCTCCTGGCACAGCACGAAGGCCTCCAGCAAGCGGCGGATCCACGCGGCGGAGAGGAACTCCTCGCCCGACGCCGCGGCGGCGGCAGCGGCGGCGGCGGAGGCGGAGGCGGAGGCGTCGCCGGCACCGGTCCCGGCGTCCGCCGCGGGCAGCAGCTCCGCGAGCGTCGACGCGACGTGGCGCTGGAACGCCTCGAGGTCGGCCTCCTCGCCCGACGGCATGATGGCGGTGGTGTCCCTGCGCAGCGAGAGCAGCGAGCGGCCGAAGGAGAAGGGCGAGGAGGTTGAGCCCTGGTAGTCCGTCACCGGCATCGCCCGGCGTCTGGCGATCCTGCTCGCCGCCGGCCCGGAGCGGATCTCGTCTCTCTCTCTCTCGCCTGGGCAAGCGAGCGCGGGCGGGCTTCGCGGGCTGTCGGGTGCGCGCCCGCTAGTGGCGTGGCGTGGCGAGGGCGAGGCTCGTTGGCGATGGGGATGTGGGGTGGGGTGGCCTCCCTCGAGGACGATGGGAGATTTTATATGAGGCCGCGAGATTAGGGTGGTGATTAGTTAAATTAAGCGGGATAATTAGTTAATTTTAGGAGAGGAGATAGGCGTGATGCTTGCAAATGGAAGGGGAGGGGACTGCATGACTGCATCTCCTTGTTTATTTATAGCCTGGTTTGCTGCTGAAAATTCTTCTGGGCTTGGACGGAATGTTTTCGTTGCATACGCTTTTATCGTTCACGTTTTTTTTTGTGTTTGTTTTGCCATTCAGTCCTTATAAATAGTTTATAATTGAAAATAGGTCATTTGGTAATGTGCTGTAACGTGTATAGGTTTACCATTGGCTTTAAGTCATGTTTAGATTTATAGATAGAGCTAATAGTTAGCCACTAATTCTAACAGGTCTAATTAATAGTTTAGCTAATTGTTAGTTGAATATTCGACTAACAACTATTTCACTTGTTGACCCAAACTAGCTAGTAGGAGTTAATATTAGTTATGAATTATTAGCGAGCTAACTATTAGCAGCTCAACAGAGCAAACATGTTATTCTTATAGTAAATTTGTAATACTAGTATTTTTTCCATTTTGTTTGGTGGGGCATTATATACATAGACATGCAGTATCTCGTGCAAGATTGTGCTGTTCGTGGCTCCAGCTATATATTAGTCGATCTCACGTCGTTGACAGTGTCTTTGTGCTCCCTTGCTTCCAACTAGTACCTAATTTTATATTGGAAAACTACTATTGAATTTGGCACCACCATAGTACAAAAATATGTTCGTTGGTACAGTGTTTTTCCTCTTACAACAAAACAACATCAGTCGATTTATCAGTCGCAGAAACCATCAGCTGAACAGAGAACCATTCTCTGTTCTCTTGGAGCAGCATGCACAATTGAGATGCTTAGGGAAAAGTTTGTTTTATTGGGCATGTTCGTTTCGCTGAAATTTGGCTTATGCTTATGCTAATTTGTTGTGAGAGGAAAACATTGTTCGTTCACTGAAAAGTACCGCTGAAGTGGTGTCGAAGAACAGGATGATTATACATTGTGGGTTCATGTGTAGAAAGCGGATAAGATGTTTAATTAAGTTTGCGATAGTATGTAATGCGTGCTCACAAATTAGCCAAAGCATTTTCAAGAGTACTATATTTTCCTTCCAAATACTTAGTTTTTAGCAAGATGAGAAAAAACATCTCTCCAACAACTCTTAATCCATATTCCTAAAATTTAAGTACTTAGAAAATCCTCCCCCGTCGCGTAACTTTGCGTGTAGTCCCGGTCGCGCGGATACTGCTTTCTCGTGTGTATCGATCTGTCAATCTAAAGGTGGAAGGGTGTGTGAAAGAATAAGGAGTAGAAAGGGTTTCTAATGCAAATATATGATAGAGAAGAAATATATAAAAGTAGTTAAGATAATTTAGGAGTAGCATAGGATTCATGATGTAAAATTGTATTCGGGATTATTGAAACTCTTGGACATGCCTTTTTTTTCCTCTCAATACCTTTGTAAGAGTTGTAAAACTACACGTTTTGGGAGAAAAAAATAGAATACTCTTGGAATGCTCTCAACGTGTACTGTGACAAATTATAATATATTATGTCCCCTTAGTCCCCTTAGAGCGGTTCTAATCTAGAAATTATGGCGTAGTTTCTATACTTATCAAATCTTGTAAAATCGTATCTTAATTAAAGAACATAGAAACCATTTTAGTTTATGAATCGAGACTGGCCTTTGATCATTCTTAGTGGAAAGTTTGGCGTGATTGTTCGCATAACTGTCACATCATAAACCCTCAATATATAATTTTATGTAAAGTTCTCAGATAAGTTTACGTGACATAGTATTAAGTGCAGATGAAACTAGACCAACGACATCACGCTACCTACATTACATGCCTTGTGTTTGTGACGTGGCAAAAGCGCGATTAGCGAGGCTAAACGGCGCGGTTACCATGAGTGCTGGGACCTAAACAAACCGAGTGAAGTTCAAAAAAAAAAAAACCGAGTGAGTTTCTTTCTTCTTGTAGAGTGGGGTGGGAGGGGCAGTACAAAACCGAGTGAAACGAAACGCGGACACGGGCACCCCGAGGCCACACGCGGCAGCGACGCGCTGCGCCTGACGTGTGGGACCCAAAGGTACCCCCCGACCCCGACCCGGCGACCCGCGGGCCAGGGACCTGGTCCCCATGCCCTCTCCCCAGGGCGGGCCCCACGCCTCACGGGAGCGGACGCTTCTGCGCCGCTTCCAGAAGAGCGGAGCCCAGCACCAGCAGGCAGCCCACGCGCGGGGCACCGGGAACTTTTCCTCGACGGAAATGCCCTCCTCCACTCCACCTACACTGGCACCACCGCTGCAGGCTGCAGCCTGAGCGGGCAGGGGCAGTTCCGGGGTTTCCGGGGCAGCAAGAGCGAGCGCTGGTCCGCGGCGATCGGCGCCCGGGCTTGACCCGTGTGGCCCCGCGCCCCCGCTGGAGGGGAGACTGGAGAGGCAGGCAGGGAAGGTGGGGGCAGTTATGTCAGTTGAAACCGTCTCCCTCCGGCAGGCACGTGGCGGTTGCGTGCGCGTACGGACGCTCCGTTCGTCCGCTTCTGCTGGCGGGTCCCACGTGCTGGTGGCTGGCAGAGACAGAGCCACAGAGGGGGTCGGGTCGTTTTCTATCCTTGGGTCCGCCGCCGTCAGCGAGCGAGAGCGGCACACCGCACACGCACACAGGAGCTGCGCACGGCAACAGAACAGCCGGTCGATCGTTTTCACGGAGATGCCCCCGAAAGCTACGCTACGCTATGCCGCTATGCACGATCGTCGCTTGACACCGGTTCAACGAACGTTATTAACGCGACTGTCATTAAAGTTCCCTGTCCCTGAAAATCTGCATTAGGGCCCGTTCGGTGACAGTAGAAACAGCCCAGGAATTAATCCCACTCACGAAGTATATACAATTTTAACTAGCATTCGGCCAAGATTTTTTTTTTTCATGTGGTCATTCCTGGTGTAACGAACGGGCCCTTAAGAGTTTGCGTAGCAAGCAAAACCTCCTCGACGGAGATAGATACCCTTAAGCCTTAAGCTACTTGCAGTGCTCTTTATTAAGAGGGTAGGTATATATAACCCCTCATCTCTCCGTGTTCCACAGAAATCTTCCTAGTCTCTCCGTCAAAAAAAAAAAATTTGCAATTACATGGTTTGTGCCGGTCAAACTATTTTAAATTTTATCTAATTTGTAACAAATAGTATTAACATTTATGTTTTAAATAAAATTTACTATGGAAATATATTCTATAATAAATAATCTAAAGATGTTTATTTTATGTTATAAATGTGTATTTTTTATACAACTTTAGTCAAAATTTAAATTTTTTGACTCCTCGAGAAACTGTTTATACTATAAAAAACACTTTTCTCTGCTCCACGTCAGAACCACTTCATTATAGAATCTATCAAAGAGTAATAAAGCTCAAAATCAAGAAGGAGAAACTCTACCAAACTGTTCGTAACATCTCATGATAGCACGAGATGTCCACGCGCCCCCAGTCGGTGGACGGGTGGGACGAAAAAAACAACCTCTATACCCGGTGAGTGATGACGTACTAGCAAATATTACTAGTCCCATATATAAGTATTTTGAAGGCACGTTCGTTTGAACTTATCAGCCGACTTATCAGCTAGAATCTATAATATTTTTTTCTCACAACAAAACAGTTTCAGCCGGCTTATCAACCGGATTTAAATCTATCTACAGGTGGATTTGATTTGGTTTACAAGCAACGGTTAGTTAACAAAAACAAAACCAAACACGAAACCACTCGTTGATCGATGCCATAAGCAATCACAATCACACTGTTTATGAACAGTACGCCCTCCGCCCGTTCTCACAGATCCCTGTTCCAGGAACAGTTCGCCCTCCTGGACCGTCCGATTGTTCCGCTTCCAGCAGCAGCCGTCCGATCCTTCCTTTTCTCTCCTCGCCCCTCCTCTCTCCCTCCGCCCCGAACCTTCTCCGCGATTCCTCTCCCCCCGCGTCCCTCCGCCTGCTACCCCGCGTGGTCGCCTCTCTCTTCTTCTCCCCGGCCGCCGCCTCGCTGCCTCCGCCTGCGCCCCCCGCTTCGTCGCCTCCATCTTCCTCTCCATGGCCGGCGAAGCTTCCTCTCCCCTGGTAGCGGCGCGCGTGGATGCCGCCGCGTGGCTGCACGGACGACGCGTCTCCTCTTTCTCCCCCCGGTGCCTACGGGGGCCGATGCGGCGGCCGGATCTACCACCGCCTGTGCTGTCCGATGCGGCGGCGGTGCCTGCACGGGTCGGTGGGCGTCGCCGGCGGCGATGGCTCTTGGAGCACGAACGGCCCAATTCCTGAAGCTTCTCGCGCACCCTCGCCCGCTCCACCGCCGGACGCGCGGCGCACCTGCCTCCGGCGCCGCCCCCCAGCACGCCCGCGCTCCCGGCCGCGGTCCCCTCCCCTCCCGACGTCGCCGCGTCCTCGCGTCCACAGCCTCGGCGGCCCTTCGTCTCCCTCGCCACTCCGCTCCGGCGCCCGGCTCGGACGGCGGCCCTGCAGGAGCCGCGTGCAGGATGGTTCAAGGTTCTGTGTTTTTTTTCCTTTCTATGTACTTTCCGTTTCAGCTACTTTATAGCATGGCACCAACTAACTGTTTATCCGTGCTCTGCTGAAGATTGGGATTGCAGGGGTTTGTCAGGATCCAGATCGGGCCTATGGCTGCCCTCAACAAAAAATTGGTTTGCAGGGGATTGTTCAGCTATCTCTAGAGATGATTCAGATGTCGACGAGTTACTGCACACCGGTGTGTTTACGGATTGCTTGGTTCCACCAAATATTTTGTCAGTTCACCAATTTGATGTCATTTCATACCATGCCATGTGTTTCTTCATAGGTCTGAGAAATAGGCATGCTTCCCAATTAATTTGTGATTAGCCTCTGCTCCAATTGATCGATCCTCATGTGCCATTACCCTAGGTTGTCCTATCTTACTTGTAGTTATGCTCTGCAATTTCCCTTATATGCTACATTCTTCTTCGAAATTTCCCTCAACGTAGTCCAATTCCCTTAACTGCCTTTCATTAAAATTAGTATATGTCCACTTCCTGATGGAGAGGACCAAACGGAGATGATGTGTGTACAGGGTGCTGCCACAGTCAGTGTGTGATCATCGCGCAACACACACAGGTAAATTTTACAGCCTGCACTTCTGTTTTATATAATTGAGCTGCGCTGTTACCTCTCCAGAGCTTGGCGCTCACAAAATGCCTGCCAATAAACATGTCTTTCCCTTTTGTTACAGACTAGTCCTTCGGGCGCGCCCATGCGCGCGGGCCACTGGCTACACGTTTTTTTTGGGGAAAAAAAGATATAATCAAAGTTGGCTTGGATGTTGATTTGAGAAAAATCCGAGGAGGTTTTCGCAAAAAATGATGAGAGGGTTTGTAGAGCGCGGGTTGATTTTTGACAAAGATAAGGGTTTTTTTGAAAAAAACCCGGAGGCCATCCGTTCTGGACCGTGGGTTGATTTCAAAATAATCTGAGGTGTTTTTTGCAAAATATCCTGAGAGGAACTCTGGAGCGTGGGTTGATTTCCGGAAAAAAGAAGGGTTTTTTTGAAAAATGACCGCGGCTCGCCTGATCTGGGCCGTCCGCGCGGCCGATCGAACGGCCACGAAAAGCAGACGACGTGGCACGCTGGGTGGCCGGCTACTCTTTACGCTTTCTTGTCTTTAGATGGGTTCAACACATGTGTACCTGATTTCCATTCAGAGCCAAACTCTATTTTCTCATGCTATGGAGAGCGTCAACTCAGAAACTAAGACAGAATGTGTTGTGACATTCAGTTTACTTCTACAATCTTCATTGCACGAACATATTTTCGTTTTGAAAGGTACTCCTTCGAATCCAGAGTTAGTATTATGAAGGAAAAACAGTCCTACAGTTTGTTATGCAGGGAGTACTTACTATTAATATATAACTTTGAAAATGTTGGGATAAGAGAAAAATTAAAACCTGCTCTGCAAATTATTGCTCGAAATCATTCAGAGATGTTTTCAACATTTTTTAGACTGACTCCTTTTCCCCCTTTCTATAGGTTCATCCATCCACTCTGTATGCAGCCATGTAGGAGGAGCTACGGATATGTAGTTCATCACATATCGTTGTTCTTCTAGCCATGCTAATTTATTTAGATAAGTTTGCCTGTGAAGCTCTACAGTTCTTAGAACTTAAAGAGATTTGTTTCACTTAAACTTTACCTTTCAAAGACAGATTGATTTGCTTACATTTCTGTACAATTGTGACACATTTTGAGTATATGCTTATTTATATGCCTGCTGCCATTATATTTTTTGTTCCTCAATTTAAATAAACATGGCATTTTTGCTATGAATATGTGGTCACTTTATTCGTTGTTCTTTTGCCTCAGCTAACCATCATAAAATCTGCAACATCACAAGTGCCTTCGAGAACCATAGCTGTAAAATTATTGGCTGCGACCTTGCAGCCGGAATACGCATACACTTCTGCGTTGAAGGGAACTCGAATCATGCAAAAGTTTGCCTAGCAACCCGACTATACATACACCTCTTTGCTTGGTTTCCACCTGAAACCATTAGGTTTTCTACCACGTTTTAGTGGAGTTGGACTCTTTGCTTTGCCTGCAATATATAAACTCAAAACAGCAACCCAAGCTAGCTGAAGAAGTTCACTGTTATGTTAGATTGTTGACATTTCATCTGATTAGCACCACTTACAATTCAGGAACATATCTCTAGCTACTACAGATATCAATTCGATATCGCTGCTGTTGTTTCAACCAAATTGCTGCCATCCTGTTAATAAGTGCCCCCAATTGTGATTGCACCATACAACTTGCCTTTTTTCCGGTCTGCTCTGCTCTGCCCGCGGCAACGCGCGGGGTTCCGGCTAGTTCCTTGGATGATCCGATTACCAAGCTACAATATCCGTTGTTATTGTTGTGAAACGTCACCCCCTGGCCGAATGGACGAAGGGACATATCCATCCAAACGACATCGTTTCACAGGGATGATCTCATCCATTGATAGAGGCTGTTAGGATTAGTATAGACAGTTAACCATTGTCACCAAAAGGACATGTCCTTTGGACACTAACAGTTGTGTCCGTACGGACACACCCCTTCACTTTGTATATATATCTAAGAGATCAATGAAAGCACTTTAGTTGTTCCCAAATCTTGTTCATTTTCATTCACTTTCAACACGTTATCAGCACTGCTCTACTGGACAAGACAGAGAACGACGACGCAGAGGCAACGAAGGCCTCTGAACACACATCGGTAAGCATGGCGAAGATAGACTTACCGTCTCATGTTGTTCGTCAACTGTTCTTCGCACTTCGCCGCGTCGGTGGAGTTCGCCGTGGCCCGATCCGCCACCATGGCCGCCATGGACAACGCCGCAGCGTCTTCGAGCGCCTTGGGCCTCATGTTCGCCGCAACAGTGCCCATGGTCATGGCCATGGTCCTTTCGGCCGCCTCTTCGACTCCGCTGTTCGTGGCCTCCGTTCCAATGCAGTTCCTCGCCGCCGCTGGACTCCAGTTCGTGGCCGCCATGCTTCTCCGCGCGATCTCCGTCTGCAGAGCCAGCCACCATCTCCTCGTCTTGGCTTGGACGGTGCCGGCCCCAGCAACGTTGCGCCTGCAGCGGTTGAAGCCTCGGCGCCGCCCGTTGAAGAAGTGGTTGCCGAGCCAGTCGCCGCGTACGTCCCCATGGAGCCGATGTCGCCGGCACCATCACAGCCTCGCTTCTAGTGTGACTTCTGCAAGGAGTTCACCTCGATCCCGCACACGCTTGAGTACTCGTACTCGCTGCCGATGCCCACACCAGCCTCTCCGACTCCAGTGGCGACAGGCAACGGCGTTCCCCCGCTCGATCCATGGTTTCTGAACGCGCGGGCTGCTCCCGCGCTTAACGCCGCGAAGATTGAGGAAGAGGACGAGGACATGGTGGCTGCCCCCGGCGTCGGCAACCTCTTCAACCCCGGCGGCACGTGCGTGGCCAGCACCGGTGTCCCGCTGTACAGCTTCTTCGACGCGGCCGGACCCTCGGCTACTCCTCCGGCGGCGACCACCCCAATGGCTCCTCCTCCATCGGTGGCGCTGCCCCTTCCCTGGATGACTCCAGCACCGGCGGCCGCTTCCTCGGCCGCGACACGCACCGAAGCTGTCGCCCGCATGAAGGCACAGGCTCTCCCAGCGGTGCCTCCAACTTCGACTGAGGGCACAGCCACCACGCCCCCCACGATTCGCCGCCTTCTCGGCCGTAGGGTGGCTGCCGTGGACAGGCGCTCGGGGATCCGCCGGGGGACATGGAACCCGGCCGTGCTCGGCCTCCCGTCAGCGGAGGTGCTCAACATGGCAAGCGGCGGCAGCGGCTTCTTCTCCCCGGAGGACGGGGACTCTTCCTCGAACTGAAGACAAGCAGCGGTGGCGCAGTGGAGGGCGACGGAGAAGTGGTTTGCGGCGGCGACGGCGGTCTTCGAGGAGACAGCGGCGGCGAGTGGTTAGGGCTGAAACCCTAACCACCGCTTGCTCCTTGCTTTTAAAGGCCCGCGCGCTCAAATGGGCCGGCCCAAATGGCCTGCGCCCTGCCCTCCCTCCCTGCTGTCCACTGTGCACTCGAATGGGCCAGGCTGGGCCGAAAATGTGTTCCTGATTCTTTTGGCCCAAGTGACTCCTTCTGTTTTTATTTATTTCATTTTAGCATTAATTTGTATAAGACTCTGTTAGTCTCTTATAATTATGTGCTGTAAAATTAAGTACTCTTGTGTTCATTCGCTAACTTTAACTATAGTTGTACTTGTGATATTTTATCATTGTAAAATATCCATTTATGATATTATTCAAAGTATTTGTCCCTGTATGTATGACAAATCCAATAAATAATATCCTTGTTATTATGATCATGATCTTGCAAATTATTTATTCATTAATTAATTTTGCAATCGATCATTTTATTTAAGTCCTTTTTATGCTTTTGACTTTAAAGCACTACGCGCTTAAATAATGGATGCGATATTTTATGTAAATCTTCTCATCAATTGTATAACGCGCATGTTCCCTATTTGTTTATTGGTCATATACAAGGTAGCACTATTATTGCTACTGTGGGATCTACACTAAGTAAACACTTAGTGACTATCCTCAACGTGCGTACCCAACATTACAAATGAGAATATTTGGTCTACATCTTTTCACAAAGATGACTACCATTAATTCACATTCCTATTGGCCATACACAAGGTAGCACCATAGTTGCTACTGTAGGATCTACACTAAGTCCATAACTTAGTGACTATCCTCAACGTGCGTACCCAATTCGTTTGCGAATTGACTAAGGTCTACATCATTTTTGATGACTACCTTAAGACGTGTTTATACAACTTGCATAATTACTTGGCATCTACTGGTAATACAGACTATGCCCAATTTGAGGTCTACACTTTTATGGTGACTACCTCCATTATTTTATTATGCACATGAGATCTTTACACCATTAATAATATCAGATTTATCTTGTCTTTATCTTGCATCCCATAATTACAACACACCACAACATTTTAATAACTTAAAATGTTTTGATGGTTTGCCTCGTGTAGGATCAATGACCGTCAAAGAGTTTGATTTGCTTGCTTTAGACGGCCACAATTATCCCACATGGGTTGTGGACGTAAAGGTTAGTCTTGCGTCCCGTGGACTTTATCGAGCTATGTTACCACCCGAAGAGGGTGTTGCACCTCTTGATGATCAACATGTATACACGGCCCTATATCTCATTAGGAGCCATATTCATCCTGATCTTAAAGCTGAATACTTGTTGGAACAGAACCCACGAAATCTATGGAATTCTCTTAAGCAACGCTATGAACAACAAAAGGCACTTGTCCTGCCTGCGGCCAACTATGAGTGGACGCAACTTCGCTTACAGGATTTTAAAACTGTGAGTGATTACAACCATGTTGTTCATAGGATTTGCTTAAAGTTGCAATTCTGCGAGAAAGAACCTACAAATGCGGATAAAATAGAGAAGACTCTGTCTACTATGCTTCCCTCTGAAAGGATTCTTCAACAACAATACCGTGAAAGGCGTTTCTAGATTTATTCTGAGCTTATACAAACTTTACTTGAGGCCGAAAAACATTCTGAACTTATGGTTTGGAATAATCAGCAGCGTCCCGTAGGGTCTGCTCCATTGCCTGAAGTACATGCTTACACTCAGAATAAACCCAAATTTGATGGTGGACTTTCTAAGACCCATCCTTAGGAAAATTCCAAGAAAGGTAAAAAACAACGCAGACGCAATAAGAAATCCCAAACTAGTGTTCCCAACAAAGGTAAGAACATTTCTAAAAACAGGAATGACAAACCTGTATGTCAGAAGTGTGGTTGTTATAGCCATATTACAAAGAAATGTCGTACCCCAAGTCATCTTGTTGATCTCTACTTAAAGTCTGTGGGTCGCGGACGTGCTGCACCAGGACAGAAGTATGAAGCCCACTTCAACATTCGACCTGACACCACCAGGAATGAGGCTGATTGTTCGCAACAAGTTCCAATGAAACCAAGCAGCAACAACATACGAGGAGGCGAGGATCTTGCTGATACGGGGAATATGATCGTGGAATATGCATCCAACGACATATTTGAAGACTTTGAATAGGCTCCCAATCCCTTAGATTCTAGTGTCTTTATGTCCTAGTGATTATAATAGTTAAAACAATTTATGTTCTATGTGTTGTAAATATTTAATAATGTCATCACTATTTGGTTTGAATATTCAATAAATGTAATATACACATTTGATATTCAATAAATAACGTATGTATTCTATATACCATCAAAGAGTTTCATATCACATTCTTTATTTATATATAGTTTCTACGGGGGTAAATCTGATGGAGGAGGAATTATGCCTAGTGGACAGTGGTACCACTAATTCTATACTTAGAGAAACAAAGTATTTTCAAACTCTTACAAAAAGATAAGGAAATGTTTTGACAATCGCCGGACGCGATGCTACGATAGTTGGCTCTGGTCGTGCTACTATTGTACTCCCCATGGGTACCCAAATTACAATTGAGGATGCATTATTGTATCCCGATTCAAAGCGTACCTTGTTAAGTTATAGAGATATCCGTCAAAATGGTTTTCATATAGAAACCCGTGATGACAATAATGAGGAAATTCTCCTTGTTACTAAAAATAACGGATATGGCAAATGAATTGTTGAGAAAATTTCCTCTTTTTCGTCCGGATTGTACTACACATACATCAAACCCGTACCGCATGTTGCATACAAGGTAATTTTTTAGAATGTTGACGCATTCAAAATTTGGCATGGACGCCTTGGCCATCCTGGTATAGGGATGATGCGAAAAATTATCAGCAATTCTAAAGGTCATGAGTTAAATACTGCTAAATTCCCAAAATCTTTAGATTTTATGTGCACTTCATGCGCTACAGGGAAATTGATCGTACGGCCATCGCCCGTTAAGATCCAAAATGAGCCACTAAAATTTCTTGAACGAATTCAAGGAGATATTTGTGGCCCCATACAACCAATGTCTGGACTGTTCAAATACTTCATGGTTCTAATAGATGCATCTACTCGATGGTCTCATGTGTGTCTTTTGTCCACACGTAACCATGCTTTTGCAAAAATTATTGCTCAAGTTATTAGACTTAGAGCACATCATCCTGAACATCAAATTCAATCAAATCGAATGGACAATGATGCTGAATTTTCCTCAAAGGCTTTTAACGATTATTGTATGGCTTTGGGAATTTAAGTTCAGCACTCTGTCCCATATGTCCATACACAAAATGGTTTAGTAGAATCTCTTATTAAGAGAATTAAACTCATTGCAAGATCGTTATTACAAAATTGCAATCTACCAACTTTATGTTGGGGTCATGCAGTCTTACACGCTGTTGACTTAATTCAATTGCGACCAACTGCATATCATGTAGTCTCCCCATTGCAATTAGTACGTGGGAATATGCCAAATATTTCCTATCTGCGAAAATTCGGTTGCGCTGTATACGTACCGATCTCACTGCCTAAGCGTACTTCTATGGGTCCACAGAGGAAACTTGGTATCTACGAGGGATATCAATCTCCATCAATTATCAACTACCTCGAGCCTCTTACAGGGGACTTATTCACCGCTCGATACGCTGACTGCATATTTAATGAGGACCATTTTCCGGCATTAGGGGGAGATTTCAAGTACCAAAACGAATGCCAGGAAATCATCTGGAATGCCCAAGGCATTTTTCCCTCAGATCCTCATACTCTAGAGACTGAACAACAAGTTCAGAAAATCATAAACTTGCAACATATTGTAAATAACCTGCCAAAAGCATTTACTGATTATACGGGTGTCACTAAATCCTCTTATCCTTCTCACAATGCGCCCGAAAGAGTGGAGGTACCAATAAAAACCATTCAACTCCCACTTCCAAAGAAGAGGGGGAGAAGTACGGCCGCTCCTAAGGATAATGCTACAAGTAAGCGTTCGAGGATACCGAGGGCTAAATCCTCCAAATCAGTAAATCCAAGCCGACCTCAAGTTGGTAGACACCCAATAGTGGATAAAAATCCAACATCAGGACCAAATCCACAACCTGGATCAACGGTGCATCCAAATTCTGATCCTGGGATATCGGAACACCCTGACTCCATAGTTTTGGGAAACGTTGAGTCAAATAATGGGGTGAAAGAAATTTCCATCAATTACATAGATTCTGGAGAATCATACGATCGTAAGACTACTGTTGTCGACATGTACTTCTCCGCAGCAATTGCATAAATCTTTCTCAATGATCTAGATCCCAAGACCATGGTAGAGTGCAAAAAGCACTCGGACTGGCCTCAATGGAGAGAAGCAATTCAAGCTGAGATAGCTTCGCTCACTAGAAGAGGGGTATTCACATCTGTAATACCTACACCTTCCAAAGTCTTTCCTGTAGGCTTTAAATGGGTTTCGTCCAGAAACGAAATGAGAACAATGAGGTGGTGAGATATAAAGCGAGGCTAGTAGCACAAGGGTTCACGCAGAGACCCGGCATTGATTACAATGAAACCTATTCTCCAGTAATGAGTGGAATTACTTTCCGATACTTAATATCATTGGCAGTTCAAAATCATCTATCTATGCAGTTGATGGATGTGGTGACAACATATCTATATGGGTCACTTGATTCGGACATATACATGAAGGTTCTTGATGGAATCCAAATTCTGAATCCAAACGTAAATCGCAACATGTATTGTGTAAAACTACAAAAGTCATTATATGGCTTGAAGCAGTCGGGACGAATGTGGTACAACCGACTGAGGGAATTCCTTCTACAGAAAGGATACTCTAACAATGATGATTGCCCATGTGTTTTCATTAAGAAATCTCGAACGGGATTTTATATTATATCCGTGTATGTTGATGATTTAAATATCATTGGCAGCCCAAAGGATATAGATGAAGCACGCAAACATCTAAAGAGGGAATTCGAGATGAAGGATTTGGGTAAGACCAAGTATTGCCTAGGCTTACAACTTGAGTACCGTCCTTCAGGGATTTTAGTGCATCAATCAGCCTATATCCAGAAAATATTGGAGAAATTCAATATGGATGAATCATATCCTAATAAAACCCCGATGGTTGTTCGTTCCTTAGAAATAGGGAAAGATCCATTTAGACCACGGGATATTGGGGAAAAGATGTTGGGACCAGAGATCCCATATCTCAGTGTCATTGGCGCACTTATGTATCTTGTAAATTGCACCAGGCCTGATATCGCATTTGCAGTGAACTTACTAGCTAGGCATAGTGCGGACCCAACTCGCTGTCATTGGACGGGAGCGAAGTGTATCCTCATATACCTTAATGGCACAAAGGATCTTGGTTTATTCTTCAAGAAAAATCATGATCCTAGTATGATTGGTTATACTGATGCTGGTTACTTATCTGATCCTCATAACGGAAAATCCCAAACATGATTTGTATTCCTACATGGAGGTACAGCTATTTCATGGAAGTCCTCTAAGCAAACTCTGACAGCAACCTCTACTAATCATTCTAAAATTATTGCTCTATACGAGGCATCACGAGAATATGTATGGCTTCGCAGAATGATTAACCACATACAACAGTCATGTGGTATTGGTTCAATCGAATCACCTACAATTATCTATGAAGATAATTCCGCTTGTGTTACACAGATGCAATCAGGTTACATAAAGAGCAATATCACTAAGCATATTGTTCCTAAACTATTTTATCCCCATGAATTACAAGAAAACGGAGAAATAAACATCTTGCAAATCAAGTCATGTGACAATCTCGCTGACCTATTTACTAAATCCTTACCAACTTCTGTGTTTCAAAAATTGGTACATGAAATTGGTATGCGGCGACTTCGAGATTTGCCAGAATCAGGGGGAGATATCTCCTAAATGTTGACCTGTACCAGCATCATATTATACTCTTTTCTTTCGTAAGTTTTACTTATAAGGTTTCTTGTTAAAGTTTTTAATAAGGTAATATTAACATAAGCATGTGTCATATTTCCTATTTTCCCCACTGGGGTTTTTGTGGGAAATATCAAAGACACATATTGCCCTCACAACTCATACATGGTTTTTCCCGAAAAGGTTTTTCATGTGAGTTATCCAAGAGGCAATACCAATAATATGTCGTCATATTTTCTCCTAATTTTCCCACTGGGTTTTTACAGGAGTTTTAGCGACATATCACTTTATATTGCTTCTCATATTTTTTTTCTGAAAAGGTTTTTGGGGAAGTAATCTATATGTCGTATCTCCAATATTTTTCCCCGCTGGGATTTTTAATGGGATACCAATGACATAGTGATTTATTTAAATCACACTCATATATGCTATTTTCTCCTTATTTTTCTATAAGGTTTAAAGGAGTTTTTATAGCATATCTATACATATATATTCCTCAGATTTTTCCCACAGGGTTTTTCGAGGAATTCAAACATACAGCTACATTGATCTCAAAGAAGATTCGATCAAGGGGGAGTGTTGTGAAACGTCACCCCCTGGCCGAATGGACACATCCATCCAAACGACATCGTTTCACAGGGATGATCTCATCCATTGATAGAGGCAGTTAGGATTAGTATAGACAGTTAACCATTGTCACCAAAGGGACATGTCCTTTGGACACTAACAGTTGTGTTCGTACGGACACACCCCTTCACTTTGTATATATATCTAAGAGATCAATGAAAACAGTTTAGTTGTTCCCAAATCTTGTTCATTTTCATTCACTTTCAACAGTTATTATAATCTCAGGCCCAGCAGCTTTCGTGAGCTTATTAGCTTACATATTTTATTGCTGGCACGACTATTAAAGGGGATGGAAAGTTGGTCAAGGATTCAAAGTGAACATGAATGAATACTCCTATTTATAAATTTATAAATATCCACCTGGTTCCTGTGAATGTGATGCTGCCAGGTCAGGATGCCTGGTTATATCTGGGTCACATCGATTCCTGTAGCATTACAGTTGACAGGCTTCAAAGGCAAACGCAGAGACAATCAGACTGAACAAACATTTTTTAGATGGCACTCAACAGGCAGAAAAACGTTCTTCAGAGATAGGATTTCATGGTATTGCATTGCAACAGAACAACTGCATTCTAATGTGCCCTGACAGGAATGTCTTGTTTGGGACTCCAGAAGAATAATCCTCCAGACACCAGCATGTCTCATGGCATATAGTAGTATTTTATATTTTACTATACTACAGAAACAACTAAAATTTGACGTAGCAAAAAAAATGGCCATGGAATACCAACACTGCTGATGGACACCCATCTAAAACCGCCGTGTTAACCAATTTATCAAGAAAATTGGGCGGACAAACACCCTGCAGAAAAGAAAGCAGAAACAGGTGGCGGTTCTCTAGCCAGATGTGGTAGTGGTACCCAATGCTAACATAACAATTATTAAGGCCTAATCTGAGTAAATGATGAACTTGATTCACCAGCCTCAGCTGGCTGATGCTCGTAGTAACCATTGGTAACAGTCAACCATGGCGCCATAAACAAGCTTCATTTTGTTGCAAAAAAGAAAGTTACTCTGTTGGATAACTCCTGGCGATCCGTAGCTTCTTAGCATATGTTGTCAGACTAATGAGATTATAGCCACAAAGAGAGAGCCTTTGTTTGCTATAAGACGACCAAGCAAGGACCATGGTGGATTTCAAAAAGGTATCAGGCTGACCGCTTCAATTTGAGGCCAAGCGAAGCGAGCCAACATTTTTGTATATGACAGCAGATGTTCAATTGTGCAACTTTGAGCCCCGTGCTTTTTGCAGACTGCCCAAGACACTCTCAACTAGCTTATCCGGCTCACTGTCTTCCCCGGAGTCTGACACGAAAGAGTACTGCCTATGCAATAGTTTTGAAGACGTCTGAGCCTTTCCTGAGGCCATACTGTCAAGATTGCCTGGGCCGCCTCTAGAACAGTCCACCAACCCATCAATGTCTAGAGGTTTCTTGCTAGAGCCATCACTCTTGCTACTGTTCCAAGAACCAATGATCTGGAGAAGGGAGCTCTGCTGCTCAGCATTTCTTCTAGGCTGCTGATCCTTTATACTGTCGCTATCCGAGAATTCATCATCTGAAGGAGTGGGAGGACAGTAGCACATTTCCTTGTTGACCCCTGCAGCAGCAGTTTCAGTAGTGGCAGATACAGGACCAAGCTCCTCCCAAATCAAGTCATCGCCATTGCTTCGGTTTCCATTTCCCTTGTTGCCACCCTGGCCGTTCCTGTGTTCTGAAGGCATAACCCTTGGGAATTTGACCCTTGCATCAGGCATAATTTGCAACAGTGATTCAAGGTCCGGATACCCAAGCTTCCGGTGATCAAGCTCGTATCCATACTTCTGAGTAAAGCGACGCTTGAAAATTCCAATGTTGAATCCATATTCAGACTCAGAAAGAAGCTCCTTCAACAACTTGTGACAATCTGATAGTATCTCCTCCCTAGTGAAAGACTTGTTTTTCCTACTTTTATCATCAACATACTTGCCCTTTTGTGGCTTCCCACTTGAAAAAAATAAAACTAAGACCATTGGATTTGCTGGAACTCGATAGAACACATTTTCTCTTATGAGGGAGGGTAAGACGGAAAGGGAAAAGTCTGGAAGAAGTTTCTTCAATCCATTTCTTTTCCGAAATTAACAAATGTACCAGATGATGCAGATCTTTCTCAAGGAGGCCTTTCAAAGGCCAACAATTTAACTTCTGCAATCCATGTGCCAATTCCTCCCTGGCCAAGAAAAGCGATCATATAAAACTGCTCTCTATTAAAAAAAAGGCAAACATAATTTTGCATATCATCTCATAAATCCTTTTTACTTGCAGAAGGAAACATATAGAAGGATCATTATATGATGAATGCTCAAGCAAGCGATGATTGATCATAAGTTTCAAAATGTGAGGTGATGCTGAGTTTAGTAAGTTTTAATGACACATAATGGAATCGGTATATGGACCTCATTTATATTCTTCTCTTTCTACAGCTTTAAAACATAATCATATGCAACAAAATAACCATTGTTGAAAGTAAGAGAGAACTGCAAAAGAGGATTTGGTTTGCTCTGATATTTCTGGACATGACATTTGCTCTGATATCAGTTCTGGACATGACATGCTCGGCATAAGTAATAGACAGGGTTAAAATAGACATGAGGAACAATATAGAAGTCATCTTCCTAGTATATGCTCTACGTAACTACAAATACAAACAACAAAGTAAAAGACAAATTGCATAATTGTGCCTCACGTGTACAGTGTACTCCCTCCATCCCAAAATATATGCACATATAAAAATGATATCGATATTTGTATCTCCAAGTAAGTTTATTATGAAAGTATATTCTACAATCAATCTAATGATACTTATTACACATCATAAATATTAGTACATTTTTGTATAAAATTGGTCTAACTTTAAAAAGTTTGACTCCTCGGTAAGTGAAATGTGCACTTATTTTGGGACAGAAGGAGTACCTGCCTACAAATTACAAAACCTCTACCAAGCAATCTATAGAATGAATTTGGACCATTGCCATTACTAACAAAAATGCACCAGAGTTGACAGTTATTTCTTCTCAGCAGTTGATGATTACTAACAAAAAAGCACCAGATTCTATTCGTTACCACTAGCGTAAAAAAGGAAACAACAAAGTTGTATTGCATTCACCATGAGTCTGGCTTCAAATTTGGAGAAGTTTGAATTCCAGATCAAAGTCACAACAGCTCTTCTTAAAAATTAGAACAGGCAGCCAAAAGGCATGAGTTAGAATCTAAAGGGGGGAAAAAAGATTACCTTGTCTTTGCTTTCAAAATAACCTCAGACCCAAGAGGTTCTGATAACTGTTGCTCCAAAACTGCCCACAAATCAGGCTTTGTAAATATTTCATGAACCACCTGCTGTGCACTTCCATAAGTTGGAGCATTTGAAGATTCAAATTCTTCAATAGAGTCAGACTTCGGTTCATCAGCGGCATTTATGTTGGTTGTACTACTATCTGCATCTGATTTTCCAAACGTCCACCACCTTGAAGCCCAGTTAAACAGGCCCCGATTCATTTCAGAAATATCATCCTTTTTTCCAGATTTACTCATGGAAACAGCAACAGGTTTTCTGCATGGTTCTGGGTTTTCAGGAATTGATGGATCTCTCTTTATTTTTTCAGAATGATCATCACCTAATGAAATTGATAAATTATCACTTACTGCTGCCGTGCTCTCAGTACCATCTGAGCGGTCATTTTTGGAAGAGGTCTTATGGATCCTCCTCAAAAGCTTTGTACGGCGATCAGCATTACACTCTTCTAGAGGAGTTTGCAAATCATCAATCACTTCAGCAGAAGTGCTTTCACAATTTTGAGAAACCTCAGACTTAACATTCTCGGGGCCATTCCACATTGTCCAGATCCTTTTAAAGAATCCATCTTTGTTAGCAGCATTTTCCACCCCTGAGGAAGAGGGAGTTCCAGGGGTAGTCATTTCATCAACTTCCCTGTGCTTTGCTGGTGACTCTGTCGACCCACTCACATCAGCCACTGGGCACTCATTTTGGTCCTCAGATAGCCCATTTGATGGGGAAGGTAACACAGAAAATGTAGGTAGGTGTTCACTTAGTGTCTCTGTGAAGCTTCCGCTCCGGTCAATGCTTTGAGAAGAACTTAGTGTATGCTTCTTATTAGTGTGTGCTGTCCCAGTTGGGTTATTCTCCCTGACATTACATTGAGCTGAGCTAAGGGTCTTAGTACATCCGTCACCAGGCTGCAGCAATCTTCTGTTGACAGCAATTGCATATCCTTCACCAGTTTGAAGACCCACTAATTCAACAATATCTGGTATTGATTGGAGAAGGCAAGAGAATTTCTTGTGGCCAAAAAAATCTGGACCGAGACAAATTTTTTTCTTCTTAAGCTCTCCCCGGAGTAGTGAAAGGTTGATCCCTTCAGGATATGAAGGCAGTACCTCCAGAATTGCATTTGTTACATATTTAGGAACTGAGCTAGGCTTGGTATCAGATGGTACTGAACAATGCTGGGACTCAGATGGTACCTTGATGGGTTCCTCTGATTCCTTCTCCAGGAAGGGGCCATCAAGGGCTCTGTCACCAGGCTGCAGAAGTCTTTTGTTGACAGGAATTGCATATGGTTCGTTTTCACCATTTGGAGGACCTACTAATTTAACATCTGGCATTGATTCAAGAAGGCAAGAGAATTTCATGTGGCCAAAAAAATCTGTACCCAGATCAATTCTGTTCTTTATAAGCTGTACTCGGAGATCTGAGATCCTCATCCCTTCAGGATATGAAGGTAGTATCTCCAGAATTGCATTTGTTACATATTTAGGGACTGGGCTAGGCTTGGTATCAGATGGTACTGAAAAATGCTTTGGATCAGATGCTACCTTGATGGGTTCCTTTGATTCCTTCTCCAGGGAGGGGTCATCAAGGGCTCCTCGGTAGTGACCATACCAAGATCCATGTAAACCATCCGGTGGGTGGTTAAAACGTTTTGGTGACAAATCCTCCCCTCTAACTAAACCATCCCAAGGCCACATGATTGTTGCTGCACTGCACAGTACACTGGTAGCATTACTAGGACAAGCAAGCAGTACATTGTAGTTGCTCATTCGCAACCGATGCAAGATGTTTGCAAAATCTTTATCCCCAGATATAAGGAAGAAATGAACTGGTGGCGGATTCTGAGCAATCCAGTAGACAAGATCAGCCATAAAAGAGCGGTCAGAACTATTATTCCCACCTACATCATGGAAACAACACTGTTAGTACAAATTAAGAAAAAAACCAGAACCCAAATGGAATTAAAAATCAAGTGAATATAGAGGATGCCAACTTTTGCAAAAATAAAAATTGAGGGTACAATTGCAACTTTTGCTACTTAACATTGTCCCTTATGGCATCTACTCCTGCCGTTCCAAAATGTAAGTAGTTTTAGTATTGTCCTCAGTCAAACTTTTCTGAGTTTTTTTTCCCTAACCTGTTAACCTACAGCAAGATGATGGACAACCCTATGATCAGGAGGCGACTAAATTCGGGATCAAACTCTGTGAACAAAAAAACTTAAGGAATCAACAGACCAATAGATGCGAAATTAACCCAATACAAGATCCTCTCAAATTTAGCATCCATAACTTCACAAACCATGGAAAATGCATATCCAGTCACCAACCCGCCAACAAAACATTCAATAAAGAAACGCAGGAAAAGCCAAAGCAATAGATTAACCGTCATATCGGGGGCACCAAAATCATCCTTTTTTTTAACACTACAGCGCATTCGGCAAGGAAATTATGGAAGACGTTCCCGAAATCATAAGACGCGAATGGAGCAGAATTAAACAGGCGGGGGGTGCGAGCACGCAACTGCTTGGGACGTGGGAGATGGAGACGCCCGTGGCGGCGAGCGCCTCCTGTGAGGACCGCGCGAGCTGCAGCACGTCGCCGAAGGCGGTGATGGAGAGCGGCCCGCGGATGCCGGCGGCGCGGAGCGCGGCGGACACGCGCGGGGCGACGCGGTAGACGTTAACGCCGTTGGGGATGTTGCAGTTCTCGAAGTCCCACCACACCGACACCCGCACCGCCCGGCTGGCCTCGTCGTCCTGCGGCGGCTGCACGGCCCCGGCACGCCGCCTCCCGCCGCCGCCGCCGTAGACCGCGGAGCTGAGGCGGCGGCAGCCGTGGGAGTGGGCGGAGAGGCGGCGGCGGAGGATCTGCGACATGGCGGCGCAGGCGGCGCCGATCCTCCGCCGGCGGTTACGATTTTGTTGGAGGGTTTTGGAGAAACCCTCTCCGCTTTTGCCACGCACGAGGAGGGCACGAAATGAATGATCTTGCTGTACTACTAGACTGGTGGAAGGGCGAAACCGCCTTGAGGCCTGATGGGCCGAGGCCTAAAGTAAGATGGACCCTGTGACAGACGCCAGACGGGGCCTCACCCCGACATTGTCAAATTTCGACTGTTGTTTTTACTCGCGTTTCAAACTGTCGTTCTAGCTTCAGAAGAATTCAACTTGAACTAAATATATATGTACATAATTAGTATTATTAGATAGGCCATTAGATTTATTTTTATAATAAACTTATTTAAAAATATAAATGTTGCTAAACATAATTAAATTTAATAAAGTTTGACCAACACTCACCTCATGCAACATTTAAATAGAGACCGAGGGAGTACTTGTGAGTTGTGACTTGTGTTCTAGCTGGCTTGCTGGTTCGCTCAGTTTGTGCTGGCTCCGCTCGACTCATGTATTTTTTTTTAATAAACGGAGTTAGTAGCATTTGGTGTTCTAAAGTTCACCAGCTGGCAGCCTAAAAGATCCTAATATCTCAGAGTCCAATAACATAATTACATAACCGAATAATAATATTAGAGCCGGTGGAGCTATATTCTGGCACATCAAAGAGTGCCCAATTTATCCAACTCTGCTCTAGTTTTTGGGATGATCTAGCATCCTACTGTAGGATCAATAGGGATAAAACGCTCCTCCATCTGTCTTTTCAACTCACTCCAGTGGCTTAAAATGCTCTTCCATCTACCTTTTCAACTCACCCTGAGTGGCGGAGACATCAAAAAGTGTGATCTAGCATCCTGCTGTAGGATCAATAGGGATAAAATGCTCCTCCATCTACCTTTTCAAATCACCCTAGTGGGGGAGGCATCCAACTCTCCTCTAGTGTTTGGTGTGATCTAGCACCCTGCTGTAGGATCAATAGGGATAAAATGCTACCTTTTCAACTCACCCGCCCTTTGTATGTTTGTATCATTGCATATGAAGAAAGTATTATTAACTTTACAATTTTTTGAGTAATAGTCTGAAATTGCCATGACAGTAAGGTACGCCCATTCCCATACATGTTCATTGCTCATAATTCTTTTTAGTTTTGGGTGGAGTCTAACGTAGTTAAGCTATCGTCAAATTATGATTTCCAACCTACAACAATGGTAGCAGATATTTTGATCTGGTTTTAACCGTTAGAGGACGTAAAATATCTGGTTGAATGTCAAAATTTAGAATTTTTGTACAGTTTATTTAAGGGTGTAAAGTGGATCTGACCTCTTAAAATTTTGAATTTTCTTTTGTGGAAAGCACCAGTCTTTTCGGACACAAGCATCACATAATAATTAAAAAAAAACAAGCACTTTAAACAAGGAAAAGTAAAAAGTAGATTATACGCCTCGCCGGCGTCGCAGCTGGCGGTGGTCTTCAGTTCACCACGCCGGCGCCGCTGCACAACTTCACTTGAAGAAACACGTACCCAGACAGGCAGGCAATCAAATGAAAGCTAATTCTTTTATTGCTATGACTTACAACAAAGCAATTCAGAATTTTACAAGATGCACATTTGCATATCCCACAGGCAGACGACGGCTAGGCACATCAGTTAATACAACCATGGTATGAAAAAAAAACAATTTAAATCTGCCGGCTAGTTAAGGGCAGGCCAAGACGCTACTCCACAGAACAAAGCTATTGAAAACAATGCGATCAGGACAGACAGCACAGCAGCAGCTGTAGATCAGGTGGAAATGGCTAAACACAGCTTTCTAGGTAAGTTAAGAAGGCATCAACAACATACAACAGAATGACGGCCCAGCAAAATTTGGGGCCGCCGTCCTCATGAAACAGATCATCGTCCTTCAGCCATGATGACGGCTTTATTCGCAGGCCAGCTTGGTGTCAAAGCTGCTCAAGCAGATTGCAAAGGCCTGGAAGGCTGACAGTGGGTAACGGTAGTCCATTGTGAACATATCCTTGGCCACCTTCCCGAATTGCAGGATCACCTTTTCGTGCTCAGGCAGCACCGGGGTAGCCTGTGATGGGGTTGGGGCTCCAGCAGCGGGCTGCGTAGCGGCAACAAGCTGGAAGTTCTTGACAGATGCAACTGTCACTCTGCCCCTAAAATTGAGGCACCAGCACTGCAGCTGCTCATGCCACCTTGGGGCCTTGTTACGGAGAATCAATGGCCTCTCCTTGCACTCGTCATTGTCTCCCAATGCCGTGTCTCTGATCGTGTGGCTGCTCATTGAGATTTCAGAGAATCTTGTGCTGCTGAAATGCATAGAATGGTCCACAACAGATGCCTTGGAGAAGGAAATGCTGCCAAATGACTCATCAATGGAGCGAGCGAGGATGCTGTCAGGCTGGCATGGAACAGTGCCACCAGCCTCAAGGCATGAGGCAGGGATAGAGTGCATAACACAGTTCATCCGCCTAGGGCCCCGAGTACCCAAGACATTCAGCTCATATGAAACCTGTGCTATGTTGTAGGTCCTGGAAGAGACCTTTGGCGACACCTTCCTGGAGTAGAACCTACGGCTTGTTTTCCCTTGTTGTGATGTATTGCATGGAGGCTGGGTATCATATATTGCAAACTTTGTGCCGAGGAGATTTGACCTAGATGTTCAGTACCATAGATATGTTAGTGATACATACATACTAGAAAATGGTTATGTAGTTCCTAAAAGAACTTGGCCAGTGTATGAGTTAGTACCTCAGCTTTCCAATGTACATTTTGCTTGACCTAGATAAATTTTCAGAATTCATAAATATTGTATATTCTGTACAAGTTGGACGGGAGGTTCGTTTCGCGCATAGGAGGAACTTGCCACTTTCAAGAAGCACAGCTGTAGAAAATAGGTTAGACTATGTTAATAGCATCAGAGACAAAACAAAAAAAAAGGAGTACCAAGCAGACCTGCAAGTGGAATATTGAAAGATTAAGGAATGAAACGGAAACAGACAAAATGGCTGACATCTGATAGCAGAATGCCAGTCCTAGGTCCTTAAGTATTGGTAAGTGCTATTATGTTTTAGCCTCAGAGTGATTGAATACCAACAGGGCTAGTGTAAATGTCTAAATTTATTGGATTCCAGCAACCAAACCGCTATGAAGATGATAGATTGACTATGTCCATGCATTCTAGAGTTCCCCAATCCCCGCAGGTGGGCACTTCATTAAGGTTAAATTGTAGTGGGAAATGCAGATTTAGCAGACAGTATAGAAACAGCTGATATTCTTATTTTAAAATATCAGTTGTCATAACTACTGGAAAGCCAACAGAGTGCATACTCTGGAAGAGCAAAAATGAGGGGACTCTCTGTTATGACGGGCGTCCAGTACACCAGGTGCAACCCCTCCAGTGGCTAGGCCACGCCCGCGCAGGAGAAGCCCAGAAGGCCCAAGTCATCAGCATTTAGTTTCTATCGGAATTACTATAATTATTAGGGGGTTATTTCTATTATTATTATTAGAGGACATATAAATACTTTGTAAGACTACTTTGGAGAATAAAGCAGAAACAAATATTGTTTCCGGCTTCCTGAAGGGAGCCGGGATTTCCTAACCCTAGCCGCCTCCTGCTGTTGTCGCGCGTGAACAGTACCGCCGCTACTGTAGCACCGCGAGAGTTCTAGGGCTGCAGCAGCCGCCGCCGCGCTCTCGCCGCCACGGCCCCTCGCCGGCGTCGAGAGTACAGACCACGTCCTTCTCTCTTCCACCCCTATAACCTACGCAGTAACTCCGGTAGGGCATCAAGTCCTATCAGCCTGGTATCAGAGATGTCAGGTCCTCCATCCACATCCACGCAGCCGCCGTCCACCTCCGCCTCCCTGCCCGTGCCATCAGCGCCAGCGCCGTCGGCCGCGTTGGGGTTGTCGTCCGCATCCTCGGGAGCGCCCCTGACGTTGGAATCTTTGGCCGGCGACGTGGCTGAGATTGCCCGCGGCATGGCGGCCATGCAGGCGACCCTGGCCGCCCTCATCCCACCACCTCCCCCTCCACAACAGCCGGCACCACCACCACCTCCACAGCCGTCGCAGCCGCAGGCGATCTTCCCCTACGGCATGCCCCAGACCAGCGGGACGGGGGTGCCCCTCCACTTGCTGCGGTGGCCGGCCTCGCCGTCTCCCATCCCGTCGTGGGCGATGGGCTCGACGACTCCGCCCATCTACATGATGGCCACGTCCCCTACACCGTCGGCGGCCGCGGTCGCGGCGTCCTCCGGGGCGCACCAGCCGCCCCCGACCAGCGGCATCTTTTATGGAGGGACGGACGGTACCCTCATCTACGGTGGAGGCGGGTACTCCGGCGGCGCCCTATCCGCCGAGGACTCGTCTGCTGCTGCTCCCAACGGCGCCCATGCCCCTCCCAAATTTTACAAGCTGGAGTTCCCGACGTTCGACGGCGCCGTTGATCCGCTCAATTGGCTCAACCACTGCGAGCAGTTTTTCCGCGGCCAGCGAACATTGGCTTCGGATCGCACATGGCTCGCTTCGTACCATCTTCGTGGCGCTGCTCAAACTTGGTACTATGCGCTGGAACAAGATGAAGGCATGCCAACCTGGGAACGCTTCCGCGACCTGTGTCAGCTCCGTTTCGGCCCCCCAACGCAAGGCACGCGGCTGGCCGAGCTCGCCCGGCTACCCTTCCAGTCATCGGTCCAGGAGTATTCGGACCGCTTTAATGCCGTGCTCTGCCATGCTCGCGACCTCAATCCTCGCCAGAAGGCGGAACTGTTCGTGGGTGGCCTCCCCGAGCACATCAAGGTCAACGTCGAGATGCGCCATCCGCCCGACCTTCAGTCGGCCATGTACTACGCTCGGGCGTACGAGCGTCGCGCGGCAGCCTTCCTGCCCGCACCGCCACAGCAGTGCAACGCTCGGCCTCTGGGGCGCCCTGGGCTGCCTGTGGCCCCTCGGCCGGCGGCCAACACCAC